GATTGAGCAGTGAGTTCGATACTCACTAAATGCGCCACACTTTCGGCCTTGTGCCACATTTGAGCTACGCTTAAAAAATTACCATTTGGGTACCATTCAGTGGTGTAATGGTTAACAAGCTTATCTCGCTCGAACATTTACAACTGGGTAATGAGTTCGATCCTCACTGGGTGCCCCACACTTTCAGCTTTGTGCCACATCTAAGTTACTCTTACAAAATGGTTAGGCACTTCGACGTGGAGTAATGATGATCAAGTTTCTCTCGCTAGATCAATTACGACTGAACAGTAAGTTGGATCCTCACTGGGCGCCCCATAATTTCGACCTTGTACCATACGCATAGAAAATTACCATAGAGTTTAGGGATCATTGAGAAGATTTCATCAGGACAATTACTCAATTTACATTATTCGGACTATTGTCCTCATCTTTGTCGCTATATTTATTACAACGTTTCAGCCGTTGACGTTCCGGTCTTCTTCAGGTGGTTGGAATGTCGAACTGAACCCTTTATTTCGCTCACCGGGATAGACTGTTCTTGTTCCACGTGCCATGTTTAATGGATATCTCCTGTTAATTCCTCTCTCCACGTTCTTCACTGCCTTAACCGGGTATTGAACTCAGACTGTTTGGGTCCTGTCACTGGATCTAACCAACGTCTTTATCCACTGTGCCATGTGTCCTTGAACGTGGAATTAGAACAGTCTACCCCAGTGAGCGAAATAAAGAGTTCAATTCGACATTCCAACCACCTGAAGAAGAGCGGAGCGTACAACGGCCGAAACGTTGTAATAAATATGGTGACAAAGAGGAAGACAATAGTCCGAATGATGTAAATAGTGTACATAATGCCACATCTCAGAAATATAGATAGATACAGAACAATTACTATGACTGTAGTTATAGCAGAGTGGGCACTCTAAATTTGCGTGACAACCAAACTAGAACAAAGGAAAAAAAAACTGAATTAAAAACCGGTTCGAACTGGGTTTCATTGCCAGTGATGAGCAAACGGCGCCATGCAGTCCGTTTAGTCTTTCTGAAGGTTTATTAATTGCATAAGGAAAATTATGTTCCTTAAAATTTTGATTTCTTTCGTTCTCACTTGTTCACTCACACATTCTCTCATACAGAATCGCACGCATAAACAATGATTATGTACAATGTCAATTGAATTTTGCAAACCTTCCGTGAAAATGACGTTTTTATCATTTTAGACCATTGACGATTTTCATTAAGGAAGATCATACGCGTAAACATATTTTGCTTTTCAAACAGGAAACATTCATAAGAATTATTTTCTCTGTAGAAGAAATATTTTCAAATGAATAAATTTGAAATAAATCACAGTCATTTGTAAGATACAACGGCTCAAACTTAATCTGACAATTGGACATTTTTGCCATCGGCGAAAGGCAGGGAAGGGGACTTTTAACGCATTATATACGTAATATATAAACGCCATACCGGCCGACATAGCACTCATTTCTTACGAAGGGCGATGCATTAAATCAGCAACAGACGTTAAAATTACCTTTTCTCCATAGTGCTCAATCGATTGAGACAAAGTGGAAAATCTATAAACGGCACGTTTCACCGAGACCATCTGCCCCCAGATTAATTAACCTGAGGAAGCCAAAGAGAGCAGACGCTCTCAGCAAAACGCGTCGTTTATAGATTTTACACTTTGTTTCATCGTCTTCATTTTGTTTCGGATAATATTATACATACTACAGACACACACACAAACATACACATTTATTTATACAGTAGGTATGTAAAAGTAGGTATAAATTAATGACAAACAAAACATGCGCACAAAACGTATTGTATTGATTATACAGACATATCTATAATTAAAATGGCAATCCATGAGATGTTCAAACTGTTTGCCCCTGTCACTCGCCCAATCCTCTTTACCGAAACATTTATTATTATTATTATTATTTTTATTATTAATATTATTATTATTATAATTATCCTTATTATTATTATTGTCATTATTATTTTAATTATTATCATTATTATCATTACTATTATTATCATCATTATTTTCAATATTATCATTATTAGTACTATCATCATTATCATTATTATTATCATTATTATTATCATTAATATTATTATCATTATTATCATTATCATTATTATTATCATTATTATCATTATCATTCTTATTATTATCATTATTATTATTATCATTATTATCATTATCGTTATTATTATTATCATTATCGTTATTATTACTATCATTCTTCTTATTATCATTATTATTATTATCATTATCATTATTATCATTATTATTACCATTATTATTATTATCATTATTATTATTATCATTCTTATTATTATTATTATTATTATTATCATTATTATCATTATCATTATTATCATTATTATTATTATCATTATCATTATTATCATTATTATTATTATTATCATTCTTATTATTATCATTATTATCATTATCATTATTATTATCATTATTATTATTATCACTATTATTATCATTATTATCATTTTTATTATTATTATTATTTATTTATTTAATTATAAAAAAAAAATTACAAATGATTTTAATGAATTAAATGAATTCTCGTATTAACAGATTGCGACAGCTTTTAGAGAGATGTGATTAAATATACTTACATATTTAAAAAATATTTATTCAGTATTATTATTGTTTAGGTAATAAGCATTATAACATTGGTAAACATCCATCAGTCAGCATATCAACATCTTAAGTAAACGACTCCCTCCATTTTAAAAAATGTATTTCTGCGAGATATTCTGTTCAAATCAGATGAAGTATACTTCAAATCAGCTAATATTCCTCAAATAAAGTATCAGAAAAAGTATATTTTCTTTTTAGAAGATATTTTAATAAAGAGAATTATATTGTGATAAACACAGGCTAAAATGGCGCCGAAATCAGATTTTTGAGCAAAGCGTAAAGAAAAAAAAACTCCTTCCAGTCAATTTAAATTAGTTTTGAAACAGAGCAATGTATTTTGCTTATTGGGAGTATTAAATGTAATCTATTAACTTGAAATTAAAACTAAAATATGAGCTTTAGGAAAGTTTTCTTCATTTTAAAAAAAAATCATTTCAAACGCGAATATGTCGCGGTATCTTTTATTTCATTTATTTGTATTTTGCGAAACACTTTCTTATTGTCTGATATATATATATGTGTGTGTGTATGTGTGTGTGTGTATGTGTGTGTATATAAGACAATAAGGCAGTATATGTCTTATATATATATATAAGTATATGTCTTGTGTGTGTATATATATATATATATATATATATATGCAAACAGGGTGCAATGGATAAATTGTTATCTAAATTATGCAGAAATGAAAATAACACTGACATCTCATTTTAACAGATATATTTACCAAAATTTAACAAACATATCTTGAAATATTAAAGAGTTAATTTATTCAATAAAATTGCCATTGGCTTCAACCACGGCCTTCAGACGACTTCGGAATCTCCTGCAACTCTGGATGGTCTCCTTGTTTAATTTGGTGAATGCTGCCATAATACTTGTCTTCAGTTCATCTTTCAGTTTTATCGGCCTCTCGCTCAACTGTTTCCCACACATAATAATCAAGTGGGTCCAATCTGAGGAGTTAGGTAGCCAGATGTAAGGAATGATTCGGTCGCAAAAATTGTTTGACAGTCATGACTGTGTCCTCCTGCATGTGGGGCATTGTGCAGCGTCTTCCAGCAGCCACCGTTTTGGCTAACGGCAGCACTACGTACTCAAGGCACTTGATGTAGGCTTTCGTGTTGAGTTTGAGCCCCTCACCAACAAATTCGGGAGTTCTTTTCATATCAGAACGATCAGAGTGAGTTTCCCGAGCTGCCGTTTATTCGTAATCACCATCAGACTCGTCCAACTCTTTTTTTAAATTATCTGCATTATCGTCAGATTGAAATAAAAACATTCCAAAATGTTCGTTCGGCGCGAATGCCAAAGGGTACAGTATGCCGTTTTCAAATTTCTTGCGGAGTCAATTGCGTCATGGTGTTCTTTTTCTCACACATAGTACCCAAATATGCCTAATATACTGTTCAGTCGACAAAATTAGAAAAAAGAAAAGCGCATGCGCGAAATTAAAAATATGAAAATTTACCCATCACACCCTGTATAGCTAGTTTTACAATTTTTGAAGCAAAAAGATCGGGCAAAAATCAAGGACCTTAAAAGATAGAGTAATAGAAATTACATTTATTGAAAGGTAAAAGGATATCATTTTAGGATTTGCAAACATTTAGTTTCAAACATGAACCTAAAATATCAAGAGGGGAACTAGAGTATATACTCTAAATATCCGCCGATCAGTTAAAGACACGGTTGAATGCATTTGATAACGCGTACACATTCCTCCTGCGTGATTGCTTGTATCTTCTCAGTGATGGCTGCCTTTGATTCAGCAATGGTGCGACGGATCCCATGGTAGATGTTGTCATTGAGGAACCCCCTAGAGGAAGAAATCTGGACGGTTCAGGTCTGGCTAGTTAGGTGCCTATTCCATTTCAGCTTTGCGGCTCATGAGACGCTCCCCACGGGGCCATGCCATGATAACATTAGCAATGTGAGGAGGAGCACCACCGTGCTGGAACCACTGTTCCTCCTCATCAATGAGAGGCTGCTGCTTTGTTTCAACAATTGTGAAATGCCCTCTATCTTTTGCTCACCCGAACCTAACCTATGATGCAATGAAAAAAAAAAAAGAAACCAGTATTGCGTTAACCTCGCTAAAATAGTACTAAAGATTTCTCAATGGAAGTAAAGTAACTGAAAGATGTCAACAATGATAAAAACGAAATAGCAAAGAACAAATGAAACGATCTTTTTAGTTGGGAAAGAGATAATTTGACAAGAGTTACTGAGACTCAAACCCAACAGGAATTGGTGCATGGGCACTTTTATCATGCCGCCTCTGTGACGTCACATCCGGTGGATTCAACCCAGAAGCAGGCGCCATTATTCTTTGCCTTCAAGGAGATTTTTCATGTTTATATCTTTGTTTCTCATCTTTTATCAACTTTAAAAATACATATTTATGTCAGTCAATGTCTCTGTCTCTTTCTTCATTCATTTATTCCATCTCTTTTACTCATTTTCAGCTTTATTCTTGCTTTCATTTTGATTTCAAAACATCTAGCTCGCTCTATCAGTCAGTTAGTATTTATTTATCAATCTGTCTGTCTTTCTGTCTTTCCTCATCTATCATTGTAAGTAACCATTTGTCTATTTGTGTCTGTGTACTCGTGTTTGAAAATTTGGTAAGATTTTTTTTTCAGTAATTCTATTGTTTTTATAACCTATCTATCTATCTATCTATCTATCTATCTATCTATCTATCTATTTCAGCATGTTCATATCTATCTATCTATCTACTTCTGTCTACCTTTTCTATCTCTCCATCCATCTAGCTGTCTGTCTATCTCAGCATGTTCGTATCTATCTTTCTACTTTTCTCTACCTTTTTTATCTATCTATCTATCTATCTATCTCAGCATGTTCATATCTATATATTTATCTATCTATCTCAGCATGTTCATATCTATCTATCTATTTATCTATCTATCTCAGCATGTTCATATCTATCTATTTCTCTCTACCTTTTCTATCTAGCTATCCATCTATCTGTCTGTTTGTCTGCTCATTATCTATCTATCTATCTATCTATCTAGAAAGAAAGAAAGAAACAAACAAACAAAAAATTTAAAAAGTAAGAAGGAAGGAAGGAAGGAAGGAAGGAAGGAAGGAAGGAGGGAAGGAAGGAAGGAAAAAAGAAAGGAACCAATTGAAGGAAATTAATACATGAAATAAGGGATTAAAATGAATATAGAATATCTAAAACAAGGAAATAAATAGAAAATAAGAAAGAAATTAATATTAGAAATAATAAAATAAAATGAATAAAAAAGAAGGAAAGAAAATGAATGAAGAAGAAGAAAAGGAAAGAAAGAAAAAGAAAAAACAAAGACGGAAAGAAAATTAATATAAAAAAGAGGAAAACAGAAAGAAAGAAAGAAAGAAAGAAAGAAAGAAAGAAAGAAAGAAAGAAAGAAAGAAAGAAAGAATTAGTTCAAAGGGAGAAGGCGTAACCTTACAAGAAAGTAAACGGTATCCGATCAAAAAAGCACAAGTTTTCGTGGGCGGAGAAACAAATGCTGACAAGAAGAAACACGTAAAAATGGAGGATAAATATTCAGAGAAAGAAATATATATATATATACATATATATAAATATCTTTCGAAGAGAACAAAAGAATCAGAAGAACATGATTTCTTAAAAGGATTCTCGCCGCCTTGACGCACAGGTGCATCGGCTTCCATTTTATACCTTCGAGATAAAATGTCAACCAGTGTGCAATGGGTAGACGTCATTGCGAGACATAGTCTACTGTCGGATATCCGGTTTTACACATAAAATCTTTAAGCATCTGACGCGGCTATCATGCTCACAATACTTAGCCAAAATTTCTTGAAAGTCAACTGACTTGTGGAGACAATTGTATTATATTCTTATCACCGTGGTCATCCTAAAATAATAATAATATTTTTTTTCTTTGATCGACACCCCAATGCAGACAGTGGCAACTTTAGCCTACAATATACAATTTAGTCCTGCTGGAAAAAACAGAAAAGGATTTTCAACTAAATAGAATTCTCCTGTATATTTGACATGATAATTGAAAGCAAAGGAAAAGAATAGATCGATAACTACAAAGATTTAAAAGGTGAAATTCTGAAAGTCTAGCAAAGAAGGTAATTAGAGTACCAGTGATCATTGGAACACTGGGATGTTATACAAACTTGATAGAAATCTCCTGTCTATTTGACATGAGAATCGGAAGCAAAGAATAGAAATAGAACGATAACTAATGATAACGATGATTTAAATGGTGAAATTCTGAAAATCTGGCAAAGAAAGTAGAATACCAGTGATCATTGGAGCACTGGGATGTTATACAAACTTGATAGATGTTTCTTTTCTATTTCACATGAGAATTGGAAGAAGAGAAAAGTAATAGATTGATATGGTTTATATGGAATGTGACTTTCTAAAAGTATCGGTTATGCAACCTGATCCCCTCTTCTTAGTAATAAAATAATCTGATATTATGGTAACAGAAGGCATTACTCGAAGTCAAGAAGCGAACGTATTTCGTGCTACCATAACAACGGAATATCTCATTAGCGAGAAGAAAAGAACATGCTTCTAAAATACTGCTTTTTTCTTTGAATATTTTTTGACTTCCAAGGCATTTTTTCTTACATGATAATTAAATTACTTACATACATAAATATCCTAGATTACCCATGAAAAAAATGCAGCCAATGTAATTACAAAAGGAATTAAATGTCTCTGTCATTTATTATTATTATTATTATTATTATTGTGCGAATATACTAATGATAATAACTGTGACATTTTGCTGGGATGCTGAATGAACAATACGATTAGTGGAGCTTAAATGTCACCTCCTCCGGCGACATCCGTTCGGCTGGTAGCAGTTGGAACAGTAACGGAAAAGCTTGCAAAAAAATGCAGCGGAAACGGAAAATCCGAGCAATGTTTGCGACCAAGCATCAAACAAAATCTTTGAAAAGTAGAGAATGCTGATGCATTGTAAAGACCTACTGTCACTTAACCTTGAGTGTAATATACCCAGATTTTACTAATGGGAAAACCCAATCAGAAGAATATAACACAAGGAAATTCGGTTCATTTTGTCGTGCCAGATGTTTTTTTCTTTCTCGTCAGAACTGCCCATGCAGTGACTACTGTCGCTATATCTGGTCTGTTGCTCCTGCTGTACTTCGCAGAATTCTTGACAAAATCCAAAGAAGGATCTGCAATGTAATCGATCCTGACCTGGCATCTCGACATCAGTCTCTTCCCAGCCGATATGACGTGGATTCCCTCTGCCTTTTCTACAAATATTTTCACAGTTACTATTCTGATGTGGTTCTACAGAAGGATGCTGAGGATTTCGTGGACCGAGCGTGTGAGCAACGATGAGGTCATGGAGAGGATGCAAACAAGGAAGAGGCTCACGCTTAACATCAGGAAGAGGCAGCTGAAGTTTCCGGAACACATGAGAAAGGAGGGTCTTGAGAATCTAATACTCACGGGTCGAATAGAGGGAAAGAGAGACAAGAGAAAGCAGGGCGTGACATTCCTAGCGGGCTTGAGCAGGTGGATGACAGAACGTGGTCTGGGGGAGATAGCAGAGAGAAGGAACTTGTTGAGAGCTGCAAGGAATAGAGGGAGGTGGAGAGCCATGATCGCCTACGTACTAAAAGGACATGGCACATAAAAAGAAAGACTAGATTGGCAGTTAGGTCTCACCGTTTTACTGTTGAACTAGCTAGATACAGCCACCACTTCTACTCTAACAGTTTCTTTCCTCGTACCTCGCACCTCTGCTACTCCTTTCCGATTTCTTTCTTCCCTGATAATTACAATCTTCTAAAATATGAAGTGGAGCGTCCATCTTCATCTTCCATTTTCTTGAACCCTGTTCCGTTTAGTCTTTTCCCCAATCATTGCCATTCTAAATCTTTTCATTCTCTTTCACTCCCTGTAACTCTCTGAGTTCTGGTGGCATCATTGTCTTACTTTGAGTTGAAATGATTAAATATATATATATGCCTTTTCTATAAATATTTTCATGGTAATTTTTTCTGATAGGCTTTCCTCTTTGATACCTCGACTCTTATGTATTGAAGTGAGGCGCTAGATTGGCGGGTAGGTCTCATCATTTTATAGTGGAAATGGCTAGTTGTAACCATAAGTTCTATGCTAACAGTTTCGTACTTATCGCTTTGCTCTCTTCCGGCTTCGTGCTTTCATTTCAATTACGATTTTCAAACATTTAAATGCAACGTCAATCGTCATCTTCTCTTTCGTTGAATCTTGCTGTTTTTATTTTTTTATCTCTTCTTAATAAATTTTTCTCGGCTTCCTTTATTCTCATTAACCCATTGGCGTCTTAGTGTTTTTATCGCCTTGCAGTTGCGTAGGGATGATTAAAAAACTTGTACAAAAAATTATTATTATTTAAGTATAGAAATTTCCTTTCCCTTTTTCTTAAGAAATTAAGATTCGTTTATCTTCACATTTACGAATTCTTACAAAATCGATATTTTTTAATACCACGTAATTATACAGAATGGCTCAAAAGTGACGAAGGGGTTCGAAACTTTAATAACTTTTTTATTTGAACACTTTTTTTTTTTTTTTTACTTTCAGGTATTTTGTAAAGAAGGCTTTGGAAATTAATCATGTAAAAATACACGACTGAAAAACGAACACAAGTCGTGAAGATCTTTCCCCCAAGACAAAGGACCAATAATTCAAGCTCAGAGCATAAATTGGCCACCATATTCCTCTGCTCTGAAAAGCTATGATTTCTTATTGTTATGAGGATATCTCAAATAAAAGGTTTATGCCAACAAACCTCAGACCCGGCCAACAACTGAAGGGCAACATTCAGACATAAATGAAAACCTTACAGCCTGAAAGTGACAAAAAATGCTTTAGAAAGGACACGTTCGCGTGAAGCTGAAAATGAATGCCATTTAAAATATGTAAACTTTCTCAACTAAATTTATTTCCCATATCTATTCTATATAAAACTATGATATTGTAGATTAAAGTTAAAAAATAAAGACGTTATTACATTTTGAAATCCCTACGTGACTTTTGGGTCACCCAGTGTGTCTATATCATTCTCTTTCCATTTTACAACATATTTATATATGTATAAAGGTAAAAGACGATAGGAAAACTGTATTATTAGTCGACACGTTTCGTCCAATGTGGATGTTTTCAAGGCAAAAACGAAATGAATTTATTAAAAACAAAGTAACTATTAACAACAAAATAAAATGTCCTTAGCAACTAGAAGAATTTAGAAAACGTTTTTGTATTCATATTGTCAACTGAAAATTCTTCTAGTTGCTATG